TCCATCCATCCATCCATCCATCCATCCATCCATCCATCCATCCATCCATCCAACTTTCTATTCCTCCTTCCTTCCATATATTCCCTCAATTTATTTTTCTCTCTCTCTATCCATCCTTCCATTCCTCCTTTCTTCCATCTGTCCTTTATTTCATCCTTCCATCCACCTCTCCATTTATCCATCCATCCTTCCATCCCTCCACCCACTCCTTCATCTGTCCGTCCATTTCCCCTTCTTTCCACTCATTCTTCCTTCCTTCCTTCCTTCGATTCATCTCTCCATCCATCCATCCATCCATCCATCCATCCATCCATCCATCCATCCATCCATTCTTCCATTCCTCCTTTCTTCCATTCTTCCATCCACCTCTCCTTCCAGTCCTCCATCCATCCCTCAATTCATCCATCCACCTCTCTGCCTCTCATCCATCCATTCCTTTGACTCATTTCTCCACATCTCCATCCATCTTTCCGTTTCTTCTTCCCTCTTTCCCTCCTTTCTTCTGTCTTTCATTCTTCCATCCATCTCTCCTCCTCTTACCCATCCATCCGTGAACTCTCTCCATCCTTCCTTCTCTCCATCCTTCCGTCCCTCCGTTCTTCCGTCCCTCCATCCCTTCTCCCCACCCTCCCATCCCTCCATCTCTCTGTCTCCCCCCATCCCCACAGCAGCACTGGGAAAGGTTGGCGGAGTGGGGCTATTTTTGGGACCGTCTCCCTGGCAACGGCTGCCACCACCATCTGTGGTGGCTTTTCCATAGGTGCTAAAATATTCCACGCTTCTTATTAAAGACGGTGCCGGTGGAGACGGGCGGGGGTGGCGAGTGTGAGCCACCCCACTGCTGGGGCCATTGAGCCAGGAATGGCCGGGGCACGGCATGAGGACAGCGAGGGGTTGGTGACATCCTTGCTGTGACATCCCCATGTCCATCCCAATGGCCCAACCATGCTGGTTGCACGGCGGACAGGGTGCAGCCGTATGTCCGTGTGGAGCAAACCACCACCATGGCCACGTGCTCCTCCCCATCCTCAGCAGCACAGTGAGGTTTTTGGGATGAGTTGAAGCACTGTAGGGTGGCTTCACCCCGTGGGCAGCGACCACCATGGTCACATCAGGAAGTATCACAGATACTGAGAGCAGAGCTGGGGCTCTCTATGGGATGGACAGTGACTTCCAAATTGGTGCTCCTAGGTATGGGTGTTCTCTATGGGATGGGCAGTGACCCCCAGTCTGGGGACAGGGATAGTAGGGATGGAGGGGTCGGACAGCCCCATCCAGCTGCGGGGAGCAGCGGAGCGGAGCTGTTTGCAGGATGTTGGCTGCTCTCCCTGCTTGCAGCTGCGGACGGATGCTGAGAAGTACTAAAAATACTCTCTGCTCCTCCCGGTGAGAGTTCTCCAGGAGGTGACCTGGAAGCCCCGAGATGCCACCGGGGAGCTCCCAGCAGAGACACCCTGAGGGGAGCTGGGTCCTTGCTTGGAGCCAGGTCTCAGCCTCTAATTAGGGGTCCAGGTGGGAAAATCCTACAGGTCACAGCCTGGGTACATGGCTGCCCCACTGTCCCCTTCCCACTGCTACTTCCACTGGATATGTTTCCTTCTCCCCCATGGCAGCTCAGCAGTGCGTATCCATGGCTCTGAGATCACACGCAAGGATGGGCTAAAGTAGCAGAAAGCTGTTGGATCCTACCACGGAGTTACTGACTTCTTAGCTACAGACTGCATAGCAATCAGCGAGGGGGAGAGGGAGCCAGGGAACGGGAGCAGGGAGAGGCGGTGCAGAGATTTTGGGGTGAGAGCAGGGAGGTGCAGGGAGAGGAAGGAAGGGCAGAGGGGACGAGGCAGGAGGGGGAGAGCAGAACCATCGCTGAGAGCTTGTGGGATGGACGGGAGCGAAGCACGCTGAGCGGAGGAGGAGAGGAGCTGGGCACGGTGAGCTGGGGCTCCTCAGGAATCCAGCAACCCCGGAGCTGCAGAGAACCCACTGGGTGAGACCAGGAGCTCTGGGGCATGATGGAGACACCGACTGCTGACCCCATCCTTTGACTCTGGCTCCCAGGCAGCCCCGGCGCGATGCGGTAAGAGATGCCGGGCAGCTCCCGGTGCAGCAACGAGAGGTTTTGCCTGCAAAAATGCTGCCGTGCTAGTGCTGAGGAATGGCTATAAATATAACTTAGTGAGATGTGAGTGGCTTCATGTGAGTGTGTCCGTGAATAGCAAAGTTGCTGTGTGCATGGCAGATGTAAATATCGCTAACGGAGCGTGACAGTGCAGAGGGCACCTCCTCGTCAGCCTCCCCAACTTTCCTCCCTTGCCCTGCAGGTAACTTGTGTGGTTTTTCAGCTCCGACCTTTGCTTTGCTCCCTCAGCCCAGTTCTTGTTTGCCTTTTCCCTCTCCATCCCCATGAAGCAGCCCTGCACTGTGGCGTCCGTTTGTGTCCACTACTCTGGGATGGGTGTCTCAGCACCAGGAAGCTGTTCTCCAAGCACAGAGTGCACCCAGGGTTGAAGTGTCTCCTTCTAAGCTTAGAGATTTTGGGGGTCCAGACCCGACCCTTCCAGCTCATAAGGTCCCAGCTCAGCTCTTGCTTGGAGTGGTTCAGTGTCTCCAACAGGCAGTGCCAGTAGGGGTTACCCCTTGGTGTCGGATGTGTGGCAGAGCTGAGGGGTCACCAGGAGCCTGAGAAGGGATGGGGAGGAGTGAGGGAGCATGGGGGTGTACCCGTATCCATTTGCCATTGGAAGCAATGTCTGAGCATCCCAGCACATGGTCACCTCAGTTTGGGGCTGCTGACAACAATAACATGAAGGATGGCAGACATAGACTCAATGATCCTTAAGGGTTCCTTCCAACTCAGGATATTCTGTGATTCCATGACAAGAATGTGGGCTTTTAGAAGGGAAACTGGTGGTGAGGAGGAGGAGGAGGGATGGAAATGGAAGGGATGGATGGGAGAGAGTCGATCTCCTCATGCTGCAGCCTTCCTCTCCTTCCACCATTCCTCCTCCTTGGGGCGTGTTGCCTGGAAGCATCCCCTGGCCATTGGGCTGCTCCAGCCCATGTTGCCCAGCCACCCCTGGCGTGGCAGCACCGTGGGACGGCGGGATGAGGGACTCAATGACGGCCATCGGCGCTTCCATCAGCACCGACTGTGGTGCGGGGCACTTAATTGCAATCCGCCTTGAGCAAATTCCCACTTTCCTGGGTCACTGCGTTCTGGCACTGGGTTCGTTCAACCCGACGGCGACGGGGGATCGATAGATGGACGTGCCCGTCTTCGCGGTCAATCCCTGCTCACAAACACAACAACCTTTCTGCCAACGGCGCGGGTCAGACGCAGCTCTCCTGCAGGCGACCGTGTTGGGTATAGGACCAACGTATGGATATGGTTCTCATGGAGCACTGAGGGCTCCGGGGTGGAGGGGACCCCACTGGGAGTTGTGGGAGAAGTGGGTGCTGGGGTGGGGGGGCTCAGCCTCTGCTCTGGCTGTGTCATCGCGGGGACCTTCGTGCGTAGCCCTTTTTTATCTGTTTTCTGCCTCTCTCTCCCTTTCTCTTCTCTCCCCCCCTCCGTCGGTATGTGGGCTGATCACTGCTCAAACTTTTAATTCAGATGGTAATTGGAATAATAATACGGGCAGAATCCTTCTGGCTCTGTTGCTGCAGCTGGCTTCAGGGAGCTATGAATAGCTCTGAGTCACACACTGAGAGGCTTCAACTTCAGATCATTTTGTTTTGTTTTCATATTACCCGTGCCCGGGGCTTCACAGGGGGGAAATATCCCCTCACTCGCTCCACCCTGAAATGCAAACAGGACAGAGGGACATCCATGTCACCCAATGGGGGAGCAGGGGTCAGCTCACCGTGGTTGCGGGCGCACGGGGACTGCTGGCACCCACCCGATCTATTTATAATTATTGAGGGAAAAGGCAGCAGTGTGTCTATATAAATGGCACAGAGCTCCCTCCCTTCACCTGCCCCATGCCATGTGCCTTTTGCTCTCCCGCATAGCTCCAACGCCCTCGCTAATGAGATCTAGGGTTAACGAGGGGCACCGAGCCCACATGTTAGCCTACATGTTAGCCCACATGCAGGGGCTCGGGGAGGGATGGGGGATGCTTGCAGGTGTGCAGCTCTGCCTGAACCTGGGAGTCCCTGTAAGCAAGGCATCCCCATAAAAAGGGGTCTCCGTACTAAGAGCTTCTCATACCAAGGGGGTCCCGTATCAAAGGGGTCCCAATACACAAGGGGACCCCACACCTAAAACATCCACATACCTAAGAAATCCCCATACCCAAGAGGTCCCCATGCCCAAGGCGTCTCATGCTCACGGGGTCCCTATCCCAAGAGGTCCCATGCCAAGAGGTCCGCATACCCAAGGGGTCTCCACACCAAGGGATCTCCATACCAAGGGGTCCCTATGCCCAAGGCTAGGGAACGAAGGCCCCTCAGAGCCACAGTGACCACAGACAGGAGGGAAGCATTCGCCAGACAGCTCTGGATAAAACCAAGTGTAAAAATACCATGGGATTTTTCCATCGCCGTCGTTGTTGTTTGCGGTGTACATCCCTGGAGCGCCAGATACGGTTGTTATAAAAAGAGAAGTGGGGGAGTGCTTCGGCATGGAGTTGTCTGTTCTACTTCACAAGGCCGCTCTGCTGCGGATTTGAAGCAGATCTTTATACCCAGACTAAATCTCTCTTTTAATTTGAAGCCATTTCCCCTTGTCCTGTCCCAACAGACCCTGTTAAAGAGTCTGCCCCCTTCTTTCTTATCGCCCCCCCCTTTAGATACTGAAAGGCCCGTGTCGCAGGCAGGGCTGTGCTGGGAAGCAGCAGGTGGGTTTATTTCCATCCACCCTCGGCTGGTTGCCGTTCCCTCCGAAGCCGTGGCCGGCGGCATGACGAGCGCTGCGCTCTGCCAGCTGGCAGCAGGGGATGGAGCGGGCGGCAGCAGCGCAGCGCGGCCCCGTCTGCGGCCAACCCGCCCGGGCCGATGCCCTGCCCAGAGTGCTGCCGCGGTGCTGCCGGAGGAGTGGAGGCAGCGAGTGGAGCCCACAGGTCCCCGCCAGCCGGCCACAAATCCGTCACCCAGGTAGGTGCCCCGCGGATGCTCCAAGGGCCGTCTGCAGGGGACAGCTGCGGTGTCCCCTTGCTGACACCATCGCCAGGGCGCACTTTGAAGGGCTTAGCGATCGGCAGGTGCCAGACAGAATTAGCCAGGTGCCTCTCCTTATGAATGTCCTGCCCGTGCTCTCCTCCTGCCTTCCATCCTTTCCCCGCATCAGCCTCTGTCCCCCCGACTGCGGCATTTCTCAACCTGCTCCTGCTCCGCCAGCCCTGTCCCCTTCTCCCTCCTGCTGCCAGCCTTGGCAGGAACGCCGGCAGCTTGGTCTCGCTGCCAGGGATGTCTTCATCCCCGCTTATCCCTGCGCTGCTGCCCAGGACTGATGGTTCCTGCGCAAGGTGAGAGGGCTCTGTTTGCTTTGTGTGCTCCTCTCATCCCACTGGGATCATCCCCAGGGTGGGCTCCGGAGTTCATGTGTTTGCAGGGTTCCTTGCTCCCTGGTCGTGACCTCACAACCGGCATGGTGATGTCACGGAGCAAGGACACGGAGATGCTGGGCTCTCCTTTCGCTACAATCTCTGTTCCATCCCACACAAAACCCCACTGATCTAAATGGAGAGCCTTTAGTGACATCCTGCTCCCTGCATGTGTCGCTGAGGCTGCAGAAGGCTTTGTCATTGTCACCCAACCCAGCTGAGGACAGGTTGCATCCTCCTGTTTGTCATCCTGAAATCATGCCGCGGCCGCTCAGCATCTCTGAGAGCATGGAGAGGGCCTGCACTGAGCAGCAGAGCCTGGAAGAGGATGATGATGATGACAATGACAACGAGGAGTTCAGTTACACCTGTCCCTTGGCACATCCTCCACCCCCATGCATGAATTTGGGTGACACTCAGCTGGGAGACGCCGAGTTCTCATTTAAGCCAGGGTACTCTTGCACGGTGAGAGATGACGGAGAGAAAAACAGAATGTATGCCAAAAGGTTGGCCAGGCACGCGTTGGAGCTCAAAGAGAATGCTCAGGAGTTTGAGGAACCATTTTACAAAGACACGGAGATATCCAACGGCCTGTTCGAGGAGGAGGACAGCAGCTGGACCAGGACCTACCACCTCCCTGTGCACCAAAGGAAACACACGCCTCGAGCTGCCAACGCGTCACCACGCGGTTGCTATGACTCCTACCAGCATGACCCGTTTTCCCTATGGGCCCAACCCAGCGACCCATACCTCACCAGCCTGGAGAACACCAGGGGAGCAGAACCCCACAGGTGGCAAGAGGAATCCATCGGGGACCGGGAGAACCCCTCGCTGCGTGTGTCCTACAGCGAGCTGTGGGAGGAGAACAACAAGCTGCGCAGGGTGGTGCGGAGCATGCAGGGCTCTCTGGAGAGCCAGGCTCAAAGCATGAGGAGCCTGGAGCGTCGGCTGAAGGCCAGTCTGGCCAAGGAGGAGAGGAGGGCCCAGGGGCTGCAGGCCCTCAACCAGCAGACGGAGCGCAGCCTCCAGATCATGACCCAGCGGGCTCTGGATGCGGAAAACCATGTGGAGAGGCTGAAGCAGGAGATGCTGCTTCTCCAGGGAGAGCTGGAGTCCTCCAAGGTGAAGAATGAGAACCTGAGAGTGGGGCAGAGCATGGACCCGGAGGCGGTGAAGCACAACGTAGATTTTGCCTTGAAGAACCTCCAGAAGATAATAGCGGGTGCAAACTGGTCCATCAAGCAGCTGGTTGCTGGGACAGAGTCGCTGAATTTTGTCACTGAGATTCTTAAATCCACGGGCAAAATTTCTGATGCTGAAGCAGAGAAAAAAGAATGAATCAAACACCGTGGATGTGTTCAACCATAGCCTATACAAAAACTTTTGCTCTCACGTGTGTGTGTTCAGCTTGGTAACCTTTATTCCTCACAGAGATGCTTTCCTTGTGGCTTATCTTGTGGCTGGGAAAAGGGGAGGGTTGGTCAAAACCTTTAGGAAATGTTTATTAGTGAGATATAGCAGTGACTTTCCTCTGGCGCCAGTATCAGTGCTAAGAATGAGCTTATAGAACCATGGAATCGTTAAGGTTGGAAAAGACCTCTAAGATCACCTGGTCCAACCTCCAGCCCATCCCCACCATGCCCACTGACCATGTCCTCAGTGCCACATCCACACAGAACACCTCCAGGGACGGTGACTGCACCACCTCCATGGGCAGCCTGTGCCACTGCAGCACCGCTCCTTCCAGGATGGGTTTTCCTCCCATCCACCCTGAACCTGAAGCTGGTGCAACCTGAGGCTGTTTCCTCTCATCCCATTGCAGTTACCTGGGAGTAGAGGCCAATTCTCACCTCTCTACAACCTCCTTTCAGGTTGCTGTAGAGGATGATAAGGTATCCCTTTAACTTGGCTCAACCAGTGGGAAACAATGATTGGAGAAGATTCCTTTCCTCTCCTGATGCAGAGAAACACACCCAAATTGTCCATTTGTCTCCTGCTGAGTAAGGCAGGATGCCATAGCTCACATTTACTGTATAATCACTGGGTATGTGTTTTAGTTTTATCCTTTTGGGACTATCTGTGGGCGTCATTTTTCAACACCAGGTCATCCCCCAACATTTCTGATGAATTTAGGTTATCCTCCTCATTTTCAGCTGTAGTTTATCCAACTACACAGCAGATTTTTCCCTATCTGGCCAAACAGACCACGATTAAAGACTCTGGTGTTGAAGGGTGGTGAGAGGCTGGGTGCTGGCAGAGCTCAGCATCAACGTTTTTTTCCGATGGGAATTTTTGGCAGCTGTTCACTCCTACCTACCTATGGTGAGTGGTGAAGTCTGCTGCCTTCTCATGGTCCCGGAGTGTCCCAGCAGTCGTGGCTGGGTCTTCAGCTGCCTCAGTAACCTTGTTGCCTGGAGGAGGGACAGCTGGTTAATCCCCACTGCAGACATGACGATGGCTTGCCCATCAGAGGCAATGTCTGGAGCTCCATACTTGCAGCCTTCCAACATGGGCTACTAAGCTGGAAGGGGTGCTGGTCACCCTCAGCCACTTGAAGCCCCGCTCTACAACACTGGTGACGAGACGAGAGCGTTTCTCACTAATTTTTCCATCCTCAACAATAACACCTATTGTTCCTGGCTCCCACCTTTGCATGGCTGCTTGCAATGAGTTCTAAACCTTGTATTTGACCCAGAAATCCCTGGATTTGTCTGAGATATGGCAACTACCTGCTGCTCATTGGCGAGGCTGGGAGGTAGTGAACTAGCTGTGTCTGTGCTGCGTGCTCTACGCTGACTGCTGTAATCCAAAGGTTACAGTGTAGGATTAGCATGGGTGTACAAAGCCCTTCCTAATCTATGAGTCATTACCCCTCACCGCATTTCCCTTCCCAGCAGCTCTGGGCAGGTGGGATAGATCAGCCCTTGAGTCTTCGGTCTCCTAGTTCTTCAGCTCAGGGAGGACCAGGTCAGGATACAACACCTCCCAGACATCCTCCCCAGGCCATACCACAGAACCGCTCCTGGGATGCTATGCACGGCACATCGCAAGGTCTGTTTGCTCAACCGGCTTCTCCTTGGCTGCCCCTGAGCTCCTCCTTTGCATTGGCTCTCCATTATCTCTATCTCTTGCTTCTCTTCCCATCTTTAAAATAGGGGGGATATTCTTCACCTCTTGGCAATAAATTTCCTCTAGGGCTGATAGGGATCTCTAGGGCTGCTGTGTGTGTCTGCGCTTTGTTAGTCCTTGTGTGCGAGGTATTTAGGCTGGCTGAGCTCTTGTCCTCCTGTAAGCTATGATATTAATATATTGGCTCAGGGCAGGGACCCTGCAAGCTGCTAAACTCTGGTGTCCTTGGTCCAGAGAGAGGTGACTGCCTGCCAGCACCTTCGCATGGGTGAGATATGTGGGCTGCTGTGTGCACTGGGTGTGTGTCTGCCAGCTCTTCACCTCTGGAGCAGGGCCGTGGTGTAGTGCCTACCATCCCCACCTCATCCCTCTGGGCATACAGCAGAAGGCTGGGAGATGTGCATGCAGGGTGGGTGTTTTCAGGATGGGCTTTGATGGGGTTTTGCTCTGTCCTTCTCTGTAAGGCACATGCCCAGGAGCAATGGTGATGATGGCATGGGTCTCAGCTTGTCAGAGGTGAAAGCTAGAGCTGCCAGGTCCCACATGAGCACGGCTGCATGAGATCCCACGCTCGCCCAGCTCCTGTGGCCCCCAACACCTGATGATACAGCAAGCCATGGGCAGCGTCCGAGTCAACCGGTGAGTAGCTCTCATCCCAAGGACTGTTCATAGAATCATTAAGGTTGGAAATGACCTCTAAGATCACCTAGTCCAACCTCCAGCCCATCCCCACCATGCCCACTGACCATGTCCTCAGTGCCACATCCACACGGCTCTGGAACACCTCCAGGGATGGTGACTGCACCACCTCCCTAGGCAGCCTGTGCCACTGCAGCACTGCTCTTTCTGAGAGGTTCCAGTCTGAACCTTCTCTGCTGCAACTTGAGGCCATTCCTTCTCATCCCATTGTTGTTACCTGGGAGCAGAGGCCAATCCCCACCCACTACAACCTTCTTTCAGGTCACTGTAGAGAGCAATAAGGTCTCCCTTGAGCCTCCTTTTCTTCAGACTGAACAACCCCAGTTCCTTCATCTGCTCCCCATCAGACTTGTGCTCCAGACCTCTCACAGCTCCACTGCCTTTCTCTGGACATATTCCATGTGCTGCCCTATGTATTCAGGGCATCTTCTGGTCTCTTTGCCCATCCCTCAATACATTATTTTTAAAATACCTTCCTGGGGCTTGTCCACTCTAAGTTATGGCTCCTCCATCTCCAAGTCTGAAATGTGCTGTATGTGGGGGGAGATCTTGGCTCTCGGCAGAGTTTGCTGGTGCAGAGGAGAAGCAAAGAACCAATGCAGTGCTGGACACCAGCCCTGGCTCAGGAATTGCCGATTTCAGCAGGACTGCAGAAGCCCAGTGTCCTCTTTCCAATGAGATGAGGACAGCAAATGGATTTGGAGCTATGTGGCTGCCCTGAAGAAACCACCCTATTTAAACAAGGAACAGTCAGCTCTGGGGTGAAGGAGTCCATGCTGGAGGACTCCGACAGCCGTGTCAGTGTGATGGGGAGGGAGGGAGGCTCTGCCAGCCTCCGGAGTCATTAGTGGCTTAGTGGCAATGGGGGTCTTGGTGGGTCTATGCACTCAGAGGGAGGCTACTGGATATCTTCAGTGGTCAGAGCATCTTCTGCCATAAGCTTTTTATATGAGGATCTGTGATTTTAGATCCAGCAGTGTATGAGAGCACTTGGAAGCTGCCTTCTCCTGGCAATGGTGAGAGGGGTAACAATGCCATCCACTGTGGAGGGAATCAGTGGGGAACAGCTCCCCAAAGAGAGGAGTTTCTCCCAGAAAAAAAACTGCCAATGATTTGACTGTTGATCTCCAAATTACACCTTTAGCTTTGGATGCAGGATGCTGGGAGCCATGCTTGTTGCTGTGGCAACAGAATTGTCCTGAGCGCAGGAAGTGTATAAACACTGTCACCAATATACAATGGCATCAGGGCGGAGAGCAGAGGAGAAAATAGAAACTCCCATCCTTACACCATGCCGGGGCCAAAATGTCGTTCTTCACATATTTCTGTCTGTTCCTTTTGTTCCAGGTACAGCATTGTCTCGACTGAGGAGGATGGACACAAGGTCTCTGCGCTGGGCAGCATGAACGGGCACAGCCGGAACGGGAAGGGCCACACACCCCGGCGGAAGCACCGTAACCGCTTTGTGAAGAAGAACGGCCAATGCAATGTCTACTTCGCCAACCTGAGCAACAAGTCTCAGCGCTACATGGCTGACATCTTCACCACCTGTGTGGACACGCGCTGGCGGTACATGCTGATGATCTTCTCCGCCGCCTTCCTGGTCTCTTGGCTCTTCTTTGGTTTCCTCTTCTGGTGCATTGCTTTCTTCCACGGTGACCTCAACGCACCGGTGGTGGGGGGCAGTCCCTCTCTCCTCAAGCCTTGCATCATGCACGTGAACAGCTTTCTAGGGGCTTTCCTCTTCTCAGTGGAGACACAGACAACCATTGGGTATGGCTTCCGCTGCGTGACTGAGGAGTGTCCGCTGGCCATCATGGCTGTGGTGGTCCAGTCCATTGTGGGTTGTGTTATTGACTCCTTCATGATTGGCACCATCATGGCCAAGATGGCGAGGCCCAAGAAGCGGGCCCAGACCCTCCTCTTCAGTCACCACGCGGTCATTTCGGTGCGGGATGGCAAACTGTGCCTCATGTGGCGAGTGGGCAACCTGAGGAGGAGCCACATCGTGGAGGCCCACGTTCGTGCCCAGCTCATCAAACCCTACATGACAGAGGAAGGGGAATACCTCCCCCTGGACCAGCGGGACCTCAATGTAGGCTATGATGTGGGTCTCGATCGTATATTTTTGGTCTCACCCATTATTATTGTTCATGAGATTGATGAGGAGAGCCCACTCTATGGGATTGGCAAGGAGGAGCTGGAGACGGAGAACTTTGAGATCGTTGTTATCCTGGAAGGGATGGTGGAAGCCACGGCCATGACCACACAGGCACGGAGCTCTTACCTCGCCAGTGAAATCCTCTGGGGTCACCGCTTTGAACCAGTAGTGTTTGAGGAGAAGAACCACTACAAAGTGGATTATTCCCGTTTTCACAAGACCTATGAGGTAGCTGGCACACCCTGCTGCTCAGCTCGGGAGCTGCAAGAAAGCAAGATGACTATCCTACCTTCTCCCCCACCTCCCAGTGCCTTCTGCTATGAGAACGAGCTGGCTCTTGTCAGTCAAGACGAAGATGAAGATGATGACGAAGTGGGTGTAGCGTTAGGTGGCAGCACCAAGGAAGAGGGAGGCGTCATCCAGATGATGGATTTTGGAAGCCACCTGGACCTGGAGCGGCTCCAGGCCACTTTGCCCTTGGATACCATCTCATACCGCAGGGAGTCAGCCATCTAATCCCTCCAGCCTCCCCGTTCTACACCCATTACCCATCCCCTCCTCCTCCTCCTCCGTTCTGCACCCAAACGTAGCTGGATAAGTCCCTTGCCCACCAAAAAATGCCTCCTGTGACCACCTCTCAGCACCTGAGTACGTCGAGGCCTGGAGATACTCTGATATATTCCCTTTCCCATGAAGTTGTACCCCCTGGATGAGGAGTGAGAATACACCATTCTTCCAGACAGCTCAGCTTGCTCGAGGACCTGCCCAGGGACAAGAAAGAAGCATGGTTGAATTCCCACTTCTGGGGAGGTGACAGGAGCCTGTGCCCTCAATGGAGAGACTGTACCTGCTCAAGTGGTTCTGCGGCTGAGACAACAGCACTTTCTGTCTCTCTCAACATGTGCAGACCCATGGCTATCAATAGAAATGGCTCTCACAAGGAGAGGAGTGATGCTTAAGTCCTGACTCAATGAGAAGGGACAAGAGAGTTTAGGACTCCTAGAGGGAGTGGGAGAGTCTCTGGAGATAGGGGTTTGCTTGCATGTTTATTGCTTGTTGCACTTGACTTTCTTTGTATATAAAAAAGATCGAGAACTGAAATCCATATTCTTCCACTGTAAATGCCAAGCTGGGAGAGAAGGACACTGCACGTAGCCCGCTCTGCACTCTCCTTGTGGCACCCATCACCTCCAGCAGCAGCTCAGCCCCACAGCCCCACGGACTCAGCCCTGGTTCCCCTACTCCTCCCCAGACCACGTTCTGCTTCTTTCCTGGAGCGCCTGGCAGCAGGCAGGGCCCTGTGCTCACACACCCAGCCACCGTGCCAGGGCTGGCAGGCAGTGACCTGATGGGACAGCAGGCCCCTCGTTTGCTCCTTCCACCTCCTCCAGTCTTCTCCCTGCTGCCATCAGCTGTAAAACGGAATTTGTATCTATTTATTTTTAATAAAGTCTAATATCCCAGGGGGAGGTTTGGAAACAAAGGAGACCCTGAGGCTGCAGCCTGGTACAGAGACTGATGAGTGTTATTAGTGCTGGTGTTTGCTGTTTGTATGGGTTTGATGCCTGGAGGCTTCACCTTTGGTACTTCAGAGCCAGAGCTAGACTTAACACCACTTCTCTGTTGTTTCACAGAAGACAGCAAACCTTGGTGAGTCCTTATTAAGAGTATTAGAATCACTCACTCAAAACTAGATGACATGAGGATGGGAAAATAATTGGGTAGCTCAAAAGGCTGCTCTGCACACCTGGCAGATGTGCTCTTGGGGAAATGGTTGAAGAAATACTGTTCCATCTAATCCCTTATCTACAGAGCAGAAAGCCAACATCTTGGTAACAGCTTGGGCTTAGTACAAGGAGCAATAGGAAGTGGGGAAGAAGCAAAAGAGGAGGGAAGGAGTCAGAAGGAGTGAGGGAGGAGCGGGAACTGCAGGCAGGGAAAAAATGAAGGGAAAGGTGAAGGTGAAGGTGAAGGGGAAGGGGAAGGGG